AGCAACAGCAAATTTACTGAAGCTCGTCATTTCAGAACAAGGTTAGCTGCTTTAGTTTTTTTCCTTTCTCTGTGTCTTTGATTGGCACTTATATAAAAGTTGAGCAGTGATACATGGAACAATTCGTTCCAGGGTATATTTTGTAATTATTGGTGTCCATGGTAGATTTTAAGTGAGCCAGCCAAGGGCAGGGATAAAGCAGACAATTACCTTCCCTTAGTTATTGAAAAGGGACTGAAATAAGACTAAGGATCACACAACGAGGTAATTTATTGTGTAATTCTCTCCCTATCTTATTAAATTTGTGAAAATAAAATATTTGAATTCGAGATTTCTCACTCTATGGGAGTAATTTATTGTGTAATTCTCTCTCTGGCTTACCAAATTTATGAAAATAAAATATTTGAACTCGAAATCTCAAACTCTGATAACTTTTGCATGATATAAGAAAATTACTTGTAATCATTTCTATATTTCTATTAATTATAATAAAATATATATTACAAGTGTCAAGTAATTTTACTATTCTAATATAAAAATATCATTTTGGAAAAATTATAATGGAAAAATTATAATTATACGGTTTTGTTTTGTTAAAAAGAATTAATTTATCCTTATATTTTTTTTAAAAATAACTACGTTCTCATATTTTTGGTCCTTTAAACTACGTACCTATTTCGTCTATTTTTTTTACTTTCAAACAATAAGTCAATGTAGGCTGTGTCAACGTCTAAAGAGAGAAAGTAATATCATTGAGAGATTATAATCTCCACCACCAGTTAAATCTTTAGCGGTAGATATTAGATAAGAATGGATGGTTAAGATTTAGAAAAGATTTAAGAAAACACAAGGGCCGTTGGAATTGAAGCAGATGAATTTGTAGAGGCTTCCAACGTACCATGGTGTTTGGAGCTCCCGGCTAACATTCTTAATAATACCTTGCCTGCCTTCTTTTATTCTTTGTTTATTTTTTTAAACTGACCAGAAATATCGGTGATGGATCTGCAGTTGATTTAAGTGAAATGATGTTCCGGCAAGGCACAAGAGGCAGAAATATCTATAGTTGAGTTGGGTTCAGTACAAAATTGATTTTGTCTTAAGTTATTGACGTCATTTCATAGCAATTTAACATTAAAAAAAAGTAAAAAATGGACGGCAACAAGACAATATTTAATAAAGGAAAATAGATATTTTTTATATATATAAAAAATAAGGATACGATTATAATTTTTCATATCTTTTTTATTATTTACAATTTAATTGTTGTGGAAATTAAGCGAAGAATAAAAACATGGCGAACCCTAATTTTATAAATTATTTAAATGGACTTTAAAATATTACAATTCTATTTAATTATAAAATATATATCAAAGAAAAATTCTTGAGCAGTGATTAAGGTGTACACAGGCTCATGGAATGCTAACATGTTCTTGAAAACCATCTCAAATTTTTCATTCTTAAAAGAAAGTTAACATGAATTTATAAGTATTTCTACTCTTTTTAATCTCCATTGCATCTGTGATCGTTTTTGATTATTTCGTAACAAAAAATAGTCCAATCAATGGTTCCATTCCATCAATCAATTCTTAATAAAGTTTGAGCAGACACCATTAATTTCCGTCAAACACCATTAATTTCATCTCGAGAAGTCTTTCCGTCAATGGTCTTTGTCATTATTAAAAAAAAAAACAATTGCAAGCAATGACCCACAATAAACTGGTTATTCATCTTTTATTGTGCTCTCAAATCGTACGACACGTTTAAATTTAAATATAGTTTGATCTATCACAAGGTACTCGTGGGAGGACCCCAACCCTAAAATTTTTTCAAATTTTGCACATTAAAATAGTAATTTTTTTATTTCGTCCCCTATCTTTTGAAAATGTATTTTACCTAGCTTTTAATTTTGGCTCCTCCGATTAAAAAGAATCATGAACCATAAAATCCATAAAATAAAATTAATTTTATACTCAATAAGGATATTCTCTTGAAACGAAATTAATTTTATACCTAAACAATATGAAAATACTCAGTGAAAATTTAAAAAAGAAAAAAAAAAGTCCTCTATTCTCTATATTTTTCTACGAGAATGAGTTGGCGAGGATGCAGAACCACATATTCTCACCCAATAACTTTCCAAAATAAGTTTATATTTTTCCATAGATGTAAGTACACATTAAGGGTTTGTTTCGCGATAGTAATTATTTTAGTAGTTGTTAACGGTTATATTAGTTGTCAATTGCTTTGTTATAATAGTTGTTAGTTGTTTTATATATTTGATAAAATTAACTGTTTTAGTTGTTAGCTATTTAAGTAGCTTTTCATAAAATACTAAAACTAAACGTTACATTAGTTAACTTTTTATAGAACTCTACTTAAATTCTAATAAAAATTTATTGTCGAACACAGCTATTGTCGAACACAGCTTTTAGCTGGTAGCTAGCGATTTCAATTACAAGTGTTCAATAAAAATCAATGTTTTGAAAACTGGACCCGTCATTGAACCGGTAAAGGTAGGAATTCATTGAACCGGAAGGTTTAATCAGGTTCAATACTATTCAATCAGGATTTTATATCTAATATTTAAATATATTTTTTTAAAATAATTAAAATATAAAATTTGTAAATACGAAATAATTTCTACAAAAATAACAAAAAATTATATATGATTTAACTTACGTAAGCCTAATAATATATAAATATAAAGCCTATTTAATAAAACTTTTAACTAATTATAATAATACACAAACTCTTTTTTTTTTTAACGGAAAATGCTACAAGAGAGTTTCTCTCTCACTGGTTGATAAATATCCAGGAGTGAGAAATTTTCAAACGAGAATTGTAGGTCGACCACCGGCAGGTAAGTCTTGCTGTCGACACAACAGGCGAAGCATCTCGCCGATTCACTTCAAGGGACGGTGGTTCGGCCACCATCCACTTCTGGAGCAACCCACACGCCCCAATATTCTCTGTCCTTTTTTCTTCTTTTTTTTTTTTTTTTCTATCCTTATTTGCTGTTTTGATTTGAACCGTAGTAATTATTCAAACCGGTTTGTTGGTTCTTACCAATTCATATCAGTTCTGAGAGATTTTTTTGCCTCCCATTTTATTTACCCCACTCGAACCCGATCATAGTTCTGTTTCCGGTTAAACCGGTCGAACCGGCCAGTTTGGTCTGATTTTCAGTACAATGGTAAAAATAATTGTTTGATTATCTGTTTAACTTAAAATGATAAAGAAATATATTAGATGTTTAATTAATTGAATTAGAATATATTAGATGTTTAATTAATTGAATTAGAGTAAAAAAAAAAAATCAATGGGTATATGATTGTCCGAAAAAAAATAATAATAATCTCTATAAAATACTAAATGTTAGAATGTTTAATGTTTCATAAAAAAATTTGCTCAAGTTGATAAAACTTTTAAAATTTTTTTTAAGAATTGGTGATAAAACAAAAAAAAAAATTGAGAATTATTTTGATATACTTTTATCTCATAATTTTTTTTATGGTTTTAAACTGAAACTACTAGCTTTAATTTTAAAAAACAGGAACAGAACAAAGCCGTAAGCACACGGTTGTAATTATTGTTTGAAACTGAAAATCACTAATTACGATATGATTCAATTTTAACAGATTTGATCGCAATTCAGTTTTGATTTAAAATTGAATCATAGCATGCTAAAGCTAAGCTTGTGTTTATTAAGCTGCATTTAATTTATATTATTTCGGATTTTTGTATTTTTCGCATTTCATTAACCAAACAGAACGCTGCCAATTACCGAATTGCACAAAAAGGTAGCTTACGAATTATAAATAGATCTGCCAGCTGAGCAATAACGTAATCAACAATTAGGAGACTAGTTCTACTATCTCTCCTTCAACGTACTTCCATAACTGGCGCCTGATAGCTGTGACTGCGACACTTTTTCCCTACGCGAAGGAAGACGAGAAAGAAAAATTAGGACCGTCTGTTATAAGTTTCGTGTCCGAAGGGTAAACAAAGGTCAAGTCCAGACTAAACTTGACTTAATCAAGTCATCTAATGGTGACAAGGACGTATCTAATAGAGTAAAGAGGGTCCAAAATTTTTGATAGTAAGATTAAATGTATTTGCAGGTGCATTAAAGCACCAGAATTTGATCAATTTGTCTTCAATTCAACTAAAATGTTTGTCCTTTTTTCTTTTTATCCAGGAGGTATAATCCTCTTTGTAGAGAATAAAAATTTTTTTCTCTTCCAATAAATTTGTATTCTTAATCTTACGGAAACTGAAGTTACTTATCACTCTAACCAATACTTATGTTTTGTTCGGAGGAAGGGAGGGACGAATCATTAAAGTAAAGTAAAATATAATGCGGGAAAGTAAGGTAAATGTTTTTTTTTTTTTTTTTGTGTTTGTGGAGAATGTATGGGAAATGAAAGTTTAATAACACTGTTTTGTTTGGTTCGATAATAAATAATTAAGAAAATACCTTTAACACAAAAGATTTATAAATATAATTATGGATAATTTTAGAAATTAAATTTTTTAATCATATTTACACCCCAATTAAATTTTTTTTTTTTTTCCTTCTCTAGTCTATGTTTTAAGTTGGCATTTATATGTAGTTTGAGGAAAATTCAAAAGTAGGTGTTGATTAGACAACATTAGAATACTAACCTTTTATCCCTTGAAGTCTTTAAGTCAACCGTCACTGTCTTTGTTTTTTCTCATTGGTAGCTTTCGAGGCAAGAAGAAATAACTCCTCTTGTTCCTTTATTTCTACATTCTAGAGCCAAAATGAGAAAACTATCTTAAGGACGTATGCATTTCTTCATAGTTAGGTTAAATGTCTTAGCAGTTGGATCACGGCACTAGAATTTGGTCACCATGCACTCCAATTCAACCATGATGCTCCAATTCAACCATGATGATTGTCTTTTGTGTCGTGTCATGTGTCCAACATAGTTCTATGTTATTAATTGAATTTCATATGTTCCCACTTGAAATTCAAGTCCAATAATGTTGATTTTCTTCTGAAATGTATTAGAAATGGTCCAAAAATATTAACTTTTACATTCTCAAATTTTGTTCTTTTTAATTTTGTCAAATTATGCAGCAAGAACAGAATCAACCTAACAACTCTATGCAGCTACAGGTCTTTTGTAATGCAAATTGGGCGTCTTGTTCATTTACAAGCAAATCTTTAACTGGATTCTCATTTTTCTTGGAGATGTACCATTTCCTAGAAATTTAAGAAACAAGCCTTCTGTAGAGGCAGAATACAGAAACATGGCTTCCTGTTTCCTACATAATTCCTGTAATGGTCCTGCTCGGTTTACAGTGGCCTCTCGCTGTTTGCAAAGTTCAAATTGGACTAACGATTCTGATAAATATCGCTCCTTTAACTGACTAACGATTCTGATAAATATCGCTCCTTTAACTGCTTTCACTCCATCACATTTCAGCTTCATGGTCCTACAATAAGTTAATTATTGAAAAAAAAGAAAGTAAATACATGATATTTAGTTAGTAGACTTTCAATTTTTATAAACAGATAGTTGACTTTCCAAAACCATAGTCCAATTAGTAGTTTCTCATAGAACAATTGGGATAAACAAATTCTCCCCTGCTTCCATATTCCATAAGTGATTTTATTGTTCTTCACAAACATTTTGGAAGACAAGCACCGGAAATTCAAAGTAAATATAAATTGGAAAATATGAATTACTTACTTGTATACATGGATGGTCCTGTTCTTCTAATTCGCACATAGTTGTTTCTAACTGAAAGCAACTCATTTACTGCATTACTCATGTCCATTCTATCCTGAGGAGACTCCATAGAACATGAAACCCCAACCTTAATATAGAACATGAAACCCACAACCTTAAAATCATGCCCAATTACGCATTCAACTTCATGTCTTTACTCCTTCATTCTTCCTTGCAAGAGTGCCTCGGTCTGACATCTCCAACCATTATCCAGGTGAATGCCATTCTAGCAAAAATTGTGAAAGGTTGGAGAGCTTCTGCAAAAATTCAAATACAGTAGGTTTTCTTTTCCTGTCATCATCTCCAAACAGAAAGGAATTCCCATAGCTTTAAACATCTCCACTGTGTTTGAACAGCTTCACTCCTAAATCCATATTCTATAAATATTTACAAAATTCAACCAGAACAAAAAAAAAAAAAAAAAAAAAAACAAAAAGAAAAGTTAAGAAAAGTAAGAAAACAATTTGACAGTGAATAAGTAAATTTAAAAACTACTGTATATACAAATAGGAGAGTATTAATCACGGGTGGAGGGTATAAGACAACTGTTTTCCTCTTTACACCAACCAGAGAACTACTTGGAAAAACTGGAATTCATCCAGCTGAGGGAGAAAAGTTTTGCTAGACCAAAATCTCCAATATGAGCAATCCATATCATTGTCAAGAAGGATGAGTTGCTTGGCTTTTAGATCACAATGAAATGATTGGCCGGTGGAAACCGCGATGAAGATTAATCTAGTGCACTTCCCCCACATCTATCGAAATATTCAGATCTTGAAGACAGGTTTAGTCCTTTAGTTTGCTGCAAACTTGGCTGACTGTCGCATTTCAGAAACACGCAGATTGCAGCCACTTTCGAGTCTCCCATCTTGGCATGTACTCGTAAACAATAGTGCTTTAAAATCATTTCCTTGAAAATCGATACTTGCGCACTATGTTCATGAAATTCCGCAAACAAGATTTCTTGGTGACGGTAATTTTTGCAAGAACTTTGGCAATTCAGCCATTGAACTCCTTTCCAACCACCAAACAAACGTTGTTGAAGGTTGAAGCTCTTTTTACTTGCAATGAATCCTCCATTCTCCTCAAGTTTCCTTTGGTAGACAGTACCAAACAGCTTCCATTAACCCAAGCCTAAGTTTCTCTGAAGAGAACAATCTAGTCTGCTTAGAATCTCTGGTCAGACATGGCCGTTTATTAAATCTTCACTCAAAGTCCGCTTCAGTTACGCTAGGCATGTTGCTTGCTTCGGGACCATGATGCTACCTCCTTTGTGGGGACTGTGTCCTCCTTAAAACTGTCTGCAATCACTCTAAGCAAGATCAAAGATGATCCAAGCAAAAAACCCTGATATTGCAATTGGTCACAAATTTTGAACAACACTTTAGTTTTTCTTTCTCTGTGCACACGTTTCCTTGATGATTTATGGCATTTTGGCAGCTTGAGTTTCTGGTATGCCTCCACATAGCCACTGTTACCTTCGACAAATTATTGCACTTGAATTGGCGAAAACACCTTTGTTCGGAACCTCACCTCAAAAATTGTTAAAGAGACAATGTATTAGATATTCTAATGAAAATTTCTCCTAGATATTCAGGAGATTTTGCCAGATAAAATTGTTTGCGTAGAATAGATATTCAGGAATTTTGCCAGATAAATTGTTTCTAGACAAGTCCAAGGCTTGAAGACCTCTCAAAGAAGCTAATGATGAAGGTAATGTACCTTGAAAATTATTACCATCCAAGTATAGAGTCACAAGGCTCTTGCACTGACCTAGTTCATTTGGAATTTTCCCAGATAAGTTGCTTTTTGAAGCATAAAATTCATTTAAACTGAATGAACTGCCAATTTCTGAAGGAAGTGTTCCTTCAAAATTGTTTAGAGATAAATCTATATGAACTAACATGGAAGGGATAGAAAAAAGTTGTTTAGGAATGGAACCGATAATGTTGCTTCTTAAAAGATTCAAGAATAACATGTTATGCCAATAAAGACCAGAAGGGAGTGCAGTACGAAAATTGTTAACAGCCAATTGAAGCTGAATCAAAAACGATAGATTGCCTATGGATGATGGAATTGGTCCTGATAATCTATTGCGATCAAGATATAGCAGTTGTAATTTTTCAAGGTCACCAATCTCCATTGGAATAGTACCTGTAATTTGGTTAGCTTGTATGCTCATTGTTGTTAAGCCAACAAGAGTAAAGAGCCATCGAGGAAGGCCTCCATATATTTGATTGTGCCCAACTGATAGGAATTGAAGAGATGAAGATAGATTAGCTTTTAAGTTCGGAAAAACTCCCTTTAGCCTATTACCAGAGAAATCCAAAGTTCTCAAATAGCTACAATTGACCAGAGAAGTGATAAAATTCAAATCATCACCTTCTCATTCAAATCATCACCTTCTCTGGTTCCAAGATTATTTTCAGCCAAGGTTAACATATAAAGTTTACGTAGGCCTCCAAAGCGGACATCTACTTTTCCAGTGAAGTTATTCCTTGTTAATTCCATGCGTAAAAGTTTCGTAGCATTTGAAAACGAAACAGGAATTGACCCACTAAAATTGTTTCCCCCTGTTTGAAAGTTCTGAAGTTGAGGTAGAAGAATGCCAATATTTGATGGAAGACTTCCATGAAAGTGATTTTCAGTCACAGAAAAATGATTGATGGTTGAAATATTGTAAATAGACTGAGGTATTATACCTGAGAGTTTATTCTCATCAATTTGAAGCAATGTCAAGTGCTTGAGTTGGCCAAGGGTATCAGGTATAGTTCCAACCAAGAAATTTTCGGATGCAGCTAAGAAATCCAATGAGGTAAGATTCCCAATGGAAGGTGGAATGGGACCGTTCAAAGAATTAAAGAAAACTAAAAGATAAATGAGCTTAGACAGATTGGAAAGCTGAGATGGAATATTTCCTACTAGTTTGTTGCAGGATAACTGAAGTTGGAGAAGATTAGAGCAATTGGACAAGTCAGGTGGGATTTTCCCTTCAATGGAGTTATTTCCAAGATTTAAAACTTGCAGCTTGAACAAATATCCTAATTCAGGTGGGACTTCACCTTGGAATGTGTTGTTTTGAAGACTAATCTCCCTAAGAAAACTCATGTTTCCGATGTAAGGAGACAAAGAACCCACTAACCCTATGTTTTCCGATCGTAAGCGAGACAAAGAACCCCACTAACGCCTTTTGATTGAAGGATCAAGAATGGTCACCTTCTTCTGTGTTTTGCGGCCGCATTGATTCTCTCCCAGTTGCCAGAAAATGGATGACTCGTTCCATGAGCTCATCAGATTTTGAGGGTCATGCACAATATTGGACTTTTGAAAACTGTATCAAGGCAAGATAATTGGTCTCATTCCTTGTTCGGAGAGAGTCTTGAGGCTCTATCTTGCAGCACCCAAAGGTAGAAGATGTGCATGAAGATGATGCATTTTAGAGAAAAAACATCAAGTGTTACGAAGCTCGTCATTTCGGGACAAGGTTAAAGGTAACAACATTGCTATTTATACTCTCTAGTAAGGTATATGTTGGTAAATTAGTGAAAATAAACATACATTCATTGATATGAATATATATTGTTTTCGACAACTATTTTTTAAGTAGTTTTTAGCATTTTGACGAGTCAAAACATTATTTTTTTATTATAGTGTTTAGAGGGTAAGATAGCTTTTTAGAGGTAAGGTAGCTTTGTATAGGGTATACTCTAGCAATAGGTTTTTATAAGCTATGTTCACAGGTAGCTTTTAGCTTCTTTTTTTTATTATTATTGGTTAAAACGCTAAACGCTACTTTTTGAATTAATTTTTAGCGGTTAAGGTAGCATTTTATAAAAAGTTAATTCATTTAACATTTAGCTTTTAACGTTTTATAAAAAGCAACTAAAATACCTAACAGCTAACAGTAACCAAAACAACTAACAGTTAATCTTATTGAATAGACACAAAAGGTTAACGCTATAACGCTTTATAACAAGCTATTCAAATAGCTAAATGCTATTAACAACTGCTAATTTTGCTGAAGAATCACAAATATAAAATTTGCATTTATCCTTAATACAGGCACTATAAATTTTATCACTTTGCACTTAAATTGGGATGAACTCTAAATTGGGATGAACTTGCTTTCCAAATCACCATAATGAATTGCATCTAATAAATTGTTTTTTTGGCACGGCATTATTTCTACATTTGGAACCCAAAACACATTGTGCTCAAGACTTGATTGCAAAGTCTAGAAAGCAAAAGCTTGCAAAGTCTATAATGCTTTATAGACAAGCTCTTTCAAATAAAGCTAGAATGCTATAACAATTGCTAATTTTTGCCGAAGATGCACAATATAGAAATTTGCATTTATCCTTAATACGAGGCACTAATAAATTTTTGATCACTTTTGCACTTAAATTGGGAGTGAACTCTTTCCAACTCAACCATAATGATTTGCTACTAATAAATTGTTTTTTTGCCCATTATCTACAATTTTGACCCAAAACATGACATTAGTGCTTAAACTTGACTTGCAAAGTCTATAGAAGCAAAAAGACTTTGCAAAAGTCTATAAAATGCCTTTATAACAAGACTATTCAAAATAGCTAAATGCTATTAACATGCTAATTAATTTTGCCGAAGAATCACAAATATAAAATTTGCATTTATCCTTAATACACGGCACTATAATTTGATCACTTTGCACTTAAATTGGGATGAACTCTTTCCAACTCAACCATAATGATTGCACTATAAATTTGTTTTTTGCACCATTATTTCTACATTTTGGACCCAAAACAACATTTGTGCTAAGACTTGACTTGCAAAGTCTATAAAGCAAAAGCTTTTTTCATTTTTTTTTTTCTTTCAAAAATGATTTATTGAGAAGGTAGAACCCCAAATTGTTGTCTTCTCTAAAGACAAATGATTTCACTTAATTGGAAATCTCCATGAAAGTTGAAATATTTCCATCTAATTATTATGTGAGTCTCTGGGTACAGTGGACGGTGGTAAGTATGCATTAATTATTCAATTTACTGGAACTGAAATTTATTTGATTAGATATTGAAATTCTTTATCCTCAACTTAGTGTTCGATATA